CGGTGCCGTGCGAGCGCAGCTTCTGGGGCCCTCGGAGGAACTCCATATCGTGCCACGAAGCGCTTGAGGGGTGAGGGGTGTGCCGAAATGGGCGCGGCGGTGCCGTGCGAGCGCAGTCACCGGAGCCCTCGGTGCAGCTCCCGATGGGGCCACTAAACGTGTGAGGGGTGTGCCGACATGGGCGCGGCGGTGCCATGCGAGCGCAGCCACTGGTGCCCTCGGTGCAGCTCCGTCGGGGGCCACGAAACGTGTGACGGGTGTCCCGAAATGGGCACGGCGGTACCATGCGAGCGCAGCCACTGGGGTGCTCGGTAGAGCTCCCCATGGGGACACGAAGCGTGTGAGGGGTGTGCCGAAATGGGCGCGGCGGTGCCGTGCGAGCGCAGCTTCTGGGGCCCTCGGTGGAGCACCCCATGGGGCCACTAGGCGTGTGGTGTGTGTGTGTGTGTGCCGAAATGGGCGCGGCGGTGCCATGCGAGCGCAGCCAATTGGGTTCTCGGTGGAGCAACTTATGGGGCCACGAAGCGGGTGAGGAGTATGCCGAAATTTTCGAATGGTGCGGAGGAAGAAGGCGGGGACGGGAGGACGGGGAGGGAGGGGGCAGCGGGAGGAAGGAGTGAGACGCGGGGCGCCGTCTCTTCAAAACGTGGACCCAACACCACAGGATTGTTGGGAAAGGACGAGTCCTCCCGATGTCTGTGGACGGCGACGGCGACGACGACGACGATGACGACGACCGCCTCCGTGGCCGAGCGCTGGCGTCGCCCGCAGCTCTGGCGCCGTGCGCCCGGGCGCTGGGCTGGCGCGGCCGTGCACCTGGGGTGGGCGGGCAGGGGCGGTGGTCGAAAGCGGAGAGGGTGGGTCGGGGGGGGGGCGAACGGGTAGGATACAATTAACCCGAATAATTCGCCGGCCCAATGGGCCAGAGGCGTGCTAAGATCTCCGGTAACTGGTTAACAATATTTCTACTTCGCGCACGCGGGGCTGCCCCCAGAGGTCCCCCGACGAAAAGTACCCCGGGACGGTCCCTGGACGTTCGGGCCAGAGATGGTTTTCCGTCTGGGCGCCGCCCTCGAGGCCCTACAGAGAGCCCCAAGAAGGGCCGCGAGGCCGCCAAGAGCCAACAAGATGATTCAAGAGTGCTCCGAGATGCCACGCGCTCGCTTGAAGACGCCCAAGATGGTTCCAAGACGCCCCAACAGACCCACAAGAGGCGTCCCAAGAGGGCCCCAAGAGGCAAAAATCGCTCCATTCCTTAAGCAAACTTTGTATTCTTAGCATATTCGCCACTTGAGCTTTCATAACGTCAAAAGCGGCCCAAGAGGCCCCCAAGATCGCCCAAAGACGGCCCACGAGGCCCCCAAGAGGGCCCCAAAACCGCCCCAGAGGGCCCCAAGACGACCCAAGAGGCCTCCAAGACAGCCCAAGAGGCCCCCAAGACGGCTCCAAGAGGGGGTCCAGACGGGAGACCCGCACGGATATTTCGAGCCCTCGGCGCCGAGAGGCCCCCAGGAGCGCCCAAGAGGCACCCGAAAGGCTCCCAAGAGGCCCCAAGAGGCCCCCAAGAGGCCCTAAGATGCCCCCACGAGGCCCTCAGGTGGCCCCCGAGAGGCCCCCAAGCGGCCCCAGGCGGCCCCCCGAATGTCCCCCCAAGCACGCAAGCAAGTGCCAGCGATGCTACAATATGGGCCGGCGAAATGAGCGAAGCGATTGAATAAGGATGCGCGAGAAAGATGCAAGGGCCTCGGAAGGCCATGTCGACACTTTACGGGCGGGGCGCCGCCAGCGAAAGCGGCCGAGGATGGACCGAAGGGGCAAGGATGCAAGGGTAGCCTTGGAAAGTCGCTCATCCTTCCTCTGCCTGTCGACTGTAGCAAAGGGTAGGGTAGAGAATCAGCTCACGTAGCTGGTTTTCCTAGCGCCTCCTGGCGCCGGGAGGCGCCCACACATCGAGGAATGGGCCTGGGGTCGGGGCGGAAACCGGCTGCATGCAGCAACGTTCGTAACCACCCCTTTCCCTATCATACCCTGTCGTCCGGCCCGAGTGGGGCCGAGTTGGAATCTAGGTCACCCAGCTCTGCGCATCGCGCCCCGCGATGCGCGACGCGCGGTATCTTCGCGCCCTGGCGCCGCCGCTCTTGAGAAGGGCGCCTCACCAACCCAAGCCGCCATGCACGGAGCACGATTCTCTTCGCGAATCTTGGGGCAAATGCAGGGGGGGAATCGAAGGAGGGCCAGGCGAGGCAACGGCGGCCCTCCCTGGCGTTGCTCGTCCTCCATGGCTCTCCCGGCAGAATCTTGTCGCCACGGCCAGAGCCCCCTGGGAAAACTTTGTCAGGATGGCCCACGGCCCCCGCGCGGGGTCCATGGAACGACTTCGAGTGGACCCGGGTCGGGCGGGGGAACCGCCATTGTCTCAGCGCAGGTCAGGTGCGCTATGGGGAGGAGCTAAGAAGGTGGGCGTGGGTGCATCATGGCCTGAGACACGTGTGCGGATCTTTGCGGACCAGAGATCTGGAAGATTCCATGGCCCCAGCCATGATATCAACACCCCCCAGTCATCACCGCCCTCGTCGACGCCCCCGAGGAGGAAGAAACCCAGACATCCAAAGGCTCGAACATATGTGACGGTAATTGTTTCGCCGTTTTGGGCCGCTGGAGGCCGGTTTCGGGCCTGGGGGCCATCAGCCAAAAACGACTCAGGATGCAAGCCGGATCGCCAGGCCTCCGAGGGCCCGTCTCGATGAAATGAACATGCCGGCTCTCACTCCCGCTCCTCCCCGGTGCCCTCCTTCTCCTCCTCCTCCTCCTCCTCCTCCTCCTCCTCCTCCTCCTCCTCAACCGTGCGCCTGTCACTAGTCGGGTCGGACGCAAAGACGTGGGGCAGCCAATGAGGGCAAGCGGATCATTTGCACGAAACAAGTTTACCCGGCGCCTGGGGCGCCGGTGCATCGAGGACTGCCGACCTGCGCCCGCTATTGTCTGACCCAACATACCCCTGCTCTGCCTCCTCCTCCTCCTCCTCCTCCTCCCCCTCCTCCTCCTCCTGCCCTCTGTGCCATAGCCTCCATTCTAATTCCTTGTAGTAAATAACGTCTCCCTGTCGCACCCCGAAGCCAGTTTGTAGGGCGTGCCGGGCGTTTCGTCTGAGATTTCCTCATCTTTTATGACTCTGAAGCTTAAACTTTGGCAGCAGTTTCACAGATGGAGGGCGGGTGGTTTTCAAAAGCTGGCTCTCGCCTTAGCGCCGCGCACATTTGTTTAAACAAATTGAAAAGGTTTCACGGACTGAAGCCGGGTCGTTTTCAAAATGCGGCTTTCGCTTCAGCGCGGCGCACACTCGGTTAAAAACATGTGAAACAAATTCGCGGATTGAGGGCGGGTGGTTCTCGAAATGTGGCTCTTGCCTTAGCGCCGCGCACATTCGTATGAAACATTAGAACGAGCTTCACGGATTGAGGGCGGGTCGTTTCAACATGTGGCTCTCGCGTTGGCGCCGCGCACATTCGTATTGAAATTGGAAAGAGTTTCACGGATTGAGGGCGGGTGGTTTTCAACATGTGGCTTTCGGCTTCGCCTTAGCGCCCTCGCACATTCATATCAAAAGATGGAAAAGTCTCACGGAGTGAGGGCGATTCCTTTTCAACATGTGGCTCTCGCCTTAGAGCCGCGCGCGTTTGTATTACAACTGTAAGAGTTCCACGGGTTCCCACGATCAGCGTACCAAAGATGGCGCTTTGAAGGTTTCAGGTTATGAGGGCGCAATAATTACGCTGATTCGCGGTGTTGAAGTCCCAGGAATGGCGTTCTGGCACGATTGAGGGTCGTCACGACGCAGCAGTCAAGTTGATCCGTGGCGTTGGAATCCCGAGAACAATGCTTTGGCATGCTTCAGGGTCTTCAAACGGTTGTCTTCCAACGAGGCAGTTCCCTCAGTGGAAATGAACCGTTATATGGGGCCTATGAGGAGGGAGCTTGGAGGGAGGGTTTACTCCAACATCGTTGACGACTCTTGTGTTTGCACTGGTTCTACTTCTCCTCCTCCTCCTGTGCTGCTCCTCGTGTCCCTCTGCTCCTCCACCCCGCTCGGCGATGTCGACCTCGATGTCATCGTCGTCGTCGTCGTAGTCGTCGTCGCCGCCGCCGCCGCCGCCGCGGCGGACGTCGCCGTCGCCGTCGCCACCGCCGTCACCGAAGTCGTGGCCGTGGCCATGGTCGCGGCCGTGGTGGCCGCCACCGTCGCCGACAGCGATGCCGACCACAGCGGAGGTGGCAACCGCGGGGCAGGGAAGCCTGGGCGTGGGGCACGGCGGCGGCGGGCCAGAAGCGCCCCAGGCCAGCGCCGTGGGCCCCTAGGACGCCGCGCCCCCCCCTCCAGTTGGCCGCCATCGAGCTGATCAAGCCGTCCTCGTTGTCGTCGTCGTCGTCGTCGTTGAGGACGACGTTGTCGAAGACGTCGTCTTCGTTGTCGTCGAAGACGTCGTCGTCGTCGTCGTCATCGTCGTCTCCCTCGCAGTAGAGAACATCGTCATGGACGTCGAAGGCATCGTGGACAGAGGAGAGGGGCTGTTTAGGGAGGGGTGGGGGGGATGGGGAAGTGGAGAGAGGAGCACGATGAAGAGAGACAGACGAACGAGGAAGGGGAGGGAGGAGGAGGACGAGGAGAAGGACGAGCGTCAACCCGAGGCTCATCCGATAAAAAGCGAGGGCGCCTGCGCAGATTGGGAGCAAAGTGGATGATGATGAAGGTGGCGATGCTGATGATGATGATGATGATGATGATGATGATGATGATGATGATGATGATGATGATGATTATGCTGCTGATAATGACGAGTATGATGATGATGGTGATGATGATGAGTTTGATGAACAGGAGTATAGGCGTGACTGGGAGGGAGGGGGGTAAGGAGCTCGGGCAAAGCGAAGGAGTAAGTGGCGGTGGCGGATAGGAAGGATTGATGAGCGGGTGAGAAGAGGAAGGGGAAGAGGAGGAGGTTTCTCTGTTCAGGCGCGTTCGAACAGCCGCGTCCGACCAGAGCACACAGGGCACCGACCGCGCAAACTTAATATCTGGTTCAATGTGTTCATCACAGAACCGGGGAGGAGGGTATGTAAGCACACAAGGCACCGATCGCGCGAACCTAAACTCTGACTCAATGTACTCATCACAGAATCAGGGAGGATAACTACGTAAAGAGAAAGAGAGAGAGAGAGAGAGACAGAGACAAAACAAAACAAGAGGGGGATGAGGAAGAGGAGGCGGATGAGGAGGACGAGGTTCTCTACCCGCTCTTCAGCATCCTCCTCCTGCTGCTGCTGCTCCTCCCTCGGCTCATCCTCCCCCGCCCTCCCAGAGGGACGGGGGAAGACGAGGACGGGGACAACGAGGACGAGGAGGGGGAAGGCCGAAGATGAGGAGGAGGCAGACGAGGACGAGGACGGGGGACGACGAAGACGAGGAGGGGGAAGGCCGAGGACGAGGAGGAGGAGGCAGACGTGGACAAGGAGGGGAAAGGCCGAGGACCAGCACGAGTGATTCCAGACTGCCCGTCTTAAGGTCCGCCCGTATTAGGGTCCGCCCGTGCGTGCGCGCGCGAGCGTATTATGTGCGTGTGTGCTCCTGACCGCACTTCAGTTTACTTCGAGTTGAATTGCCTCCTCAATTTTCTGGCCGCTGCATTTTTCGCTTGGATTTACAGTTCCTCTTTCACACCACCCATTGCTGCATTTGACAGTGTGCAACGGTCTGTACACTGTGCCTGCGACAACGTTCGATTGCAATTCGCACTTCCATCTGCCGTTCGCGCCTGAGGACCCTCTACGCCGCCAGCATAAAAAGTGCGATCGCAATTAGCACTTCCATCTGCTGTTCGGGCTTGAGGACCCTATGCGCCGCTGACTTAAAACAGTGTGCATTGTGTACTGGCGCCCTCTTCTCTGTGCCGCTCACTGGAGCAATTTTCGCCACAAACCGAGTTGTGACAGGATTTGAACACCGTTTGAATCGACAGCTATTGCATAAACAGATCGTCGAGGAACTTGTCAGATTGAATCGTGGAGGAGCCACCCTTTCGAAGTCTCGCCCGCCCGACCTGCCCATCAAGGGTTGCCGACCTGTCTACTCGGACCTCTCCGGCCGACCCGCCCTTCCAAGCCGCCGCCCGACCAGCCCGTCGGGGCCCTCCCTCCCGACAATCCGCCCGCCCGCTTTCGTGCCCCGCGCACCTGGCCCGCCTGCAATTATCAAAAAGTCCGACCGCCCGCCCAGCCCTCCAGAGCCCGATCGCTCGACCCACCCGTTGAACATCCGCCCATAAGGTCCTAAGTTAGGAGGGCCAATTACATTAGTGATAGGGTTTCCTGTTTGCAGATGTCTCGGACGAAACCACCCGCATGTTCAAGGATCACCCTGAAAACGGATGACCTGAGTTAGGCCACGAATTCATTGTATTATTCGGGTTAGGGGTTGTACTATGCTTAATGATTTCATGTCCCGCCAACCCGACCCGCTTGTCAGGGTCCACCCGCCCGACCCGCTTGTCAGGGCCCGCCAGCTCGCTGCTTCACAGCCCATCCGCCCGCTTCAGTGTCCCAACTGCCCGACCCGCCCGTTGAGGTCCGCCCGACCAGCCCTTCAAGCAACGCCCGGCCGACTGGCCCGTTCGACTCCGCCGTTCGCTTGCCTGACTGCTCGCCCGCTTTAATGTACCGCCAACCCGACCCGTCCGGCAGGTTCCGCCCGACCCGTCCGCCCGGCCCGCCATTCGGAGTCCGCCCGCCCGACCCGCTCGAGGAGAGGTCTGGGGGTCGATTTTGACAGGGAGGAGGTGTAGGAGAAGAAAAAGAGGAGAAGACGAAGACGAAGACGATCAGCGACCGACAACGACCGACAACGAACGCAGACCGACGACGATGACCGACGACGACGACCGACGAAGGGCGACCGACGTCGTCCAAGGGTCTCTGGAGGTGCCCAGAAGCCCCTGGAGGCCTCAGAGGCTCCCAAAAGCTCCTGGAGGCCCCCGGAAGCACGCAGAGGGCGGAAGATGCCGAACCCAGCTGAACTCCGCCAAGCAATGCGAACCACGCCAAGCATTACACTACGGCACCCAGGTGTACCCTTGGTCGATCTTTCTAGTTGGCCCAGGAGTATGGAGCAGAACTTCCAGGAGAAGAGGGAGGCGGAAAAGGAAAACGAAGAGGACGATGGAGAGAAGTCGAGAAGTAGGGCCTAGAGCCTCTCCTCAACCTTCCATCACTGGCCGTCGAGCTAGCAAGTGCCCTCAAGCTTGACACTGGCCCCGCCGTCTGTGATATCCATGCGGTCGACGTACGCGGCCAGTACCGCTGCCTGTACGGCCATCTCCTCCTCAGTGGTCCCGAACTGCTGGACGTACTCCTTCCCCGCCTTTGCGATTCGCTCTGCCTCGCCGTCGTTCTGCACCGCCCAGTTGACCTTCTCACTGAGGTCTGAGAAGTCTGGCTTGATTGGGATGTAGTGTTCCCAGGGCTTCAAAGATGCTTCTAGTAGCCAACTCTCAATGTCAGGTTCGACCATGAATGGAACAGAATTTGAAAACAATACCCAGTTCAAGCCGGAGGGCTTGTCATTGCCATTCACAAGGAGATGATATTTTGATACTAACAACGACTCCATGGACTTCTCAGACTTCTTGTACCGGCTCGCCAAATGGCAATTCTGGACGACCGCAGTCATGCCAACGTCAATTCTGGAGTCCGTGGAGCTGTACCACTTATTGCAGAGCATCATGCGCGAGTTAACAGCTCCTGTATCGCACTTGCCAGTCGACACCCCTCGCCAGACAAGCGTTGCGTTTTTGGACGCCCATGGAATGTCAGCGTCGGCAACCTTTTTCATTGGACCCCAATGCCGCCCGTGATTCAAATCCAAGAGAACGTAGTTCTCATCACGCTTCTTCAGGAGACGAGTTTTGTAAAAGGTGGGAAAGCACGCGCTCGAATCCCTTCGATCGCCAAACTTGAAGAGCGCATGCCCTTCTCCAATGGCGTGCGGAGCAGAAGAGAGGGCTTTGCAGATGTCAGCCCTGTAGACCAGGGAAGGGCCGCTCGCGGGAAGCTCGCATAGTTTGCGCAAACTAGTTGCAAACAAGACGTCGCAAGGAACGCTAGTTGCGAACTTCGGAACCTTCACGGACACCCTTGTCTCGACATTGGCGAGGCGGCCCAGGTATTCCCCGACTCTTCCACACGCTTGCGTGTTCACGCCGATAGCCTCGCAGATCGTAGAGATAGGCATCGGGTTGACACTCTTCCGAGCGCCGAAGAGCCCGTCAATGGTTTGCAAGCTGGTCGAGAGGGCGGCATGCCCAGCGGCGATCTCTTTCTCGACAATCGCCATACCTTCTGTGCCCATCCATTCCCGCACCTCGATGTCGTCTGGGTCAACTTCTTCTGGTTCGACTGGGCTGGCATGGACGCCGACGCTGACTTCTGTTGCATCCCGCGTCGTCAAGGTCATGCTCCGTTCGAGTGAAACCCAAAGAAGAGCCACGACGGCTTTCATGACGAGGACAAACGTCGATTAGGAAATGTAGCAGAGTTGCGTGGGGATAATGTGTCGCGCTTCAGCCAAAGTGCCTCTCAACAAATGCGGCTCTCGAAGCCTGTGCCCTCGACGGTGGCGACGACTGCCATCCTCCTCCCAATCAAGATGCGCTCAAACTCGGTTCCCCAAACCCCTCCAAGGTCCATCCTGGCTAATTTTTCGCCCTAGAAAGATCTGTGACGGACCCGGGGCCTGGAATGGCCGAAATCCAGAATAGAATGCAATATGCCCGATGCGTCACTGACCGTGGTGGGCGAGATCGGGCAGCACCAGCCGCGAAAGGCAGTGCACCTGCGGGATAGGCGCCTTCTGCGGAGGCCCCTCGCCTCGTCCTCCTGTCATAGCACATCCGACGGCAGTACAACGACTCAGGACATCAGGAAGATGTGGCTTGAGAGCGTCGAATTTTGATGTTCCCTTTGAGCCCTGCTGTTCCCTTTGACAGTCTGGGCCAGGTGGCTCGATACTACTGATGCCTCGATTATGCGTCCTCGTGCCGCGGCTTCGACGCTGACTCGAACAACTGCCGAACGCCTCGACGGGGCCCCACACACCCTGAGGGCCTGGATGCTCAAGTTTCCGAAGCGGCCCGAAGAGGCCCAATGCATGGCGCGCATATCGAGGGCTCTGCGAGCCTTCCTGGTCCAGCAATGGTCGAGGGTACATTGCCAGTCTCTGCTTAGTTGGTTCAATCTAATGTCGGCACCCCACCAGCATATCATAACAGCTCTATCTGTAGCTGACCAAGGCCATTCTCGGGCCACCCATGTCAGGAGAACTTTTGGGGGAAGGTTTTGAATCATGTTCGTGAGGCCCGCGAGCAGTTTGTATTGCTTTTGACAAGGACGGCGGGGGGGTCAGCATATTGCCTGCTGCGCGCAAGGTTACCATCCCGACCAACAAATTACTCCGACGGTAGGACCCGCATGAAAATCTGTTTAGCATCCCCTTAGCCTTTCCCTCCTCCCTCTGGCGGACACTCTCCTCTCGCCTTTTGCTATTCCCTCTCCTCCTCCTTCTAAATATCATCACCCTTCCCGTCCTCTCCCTCCTCCTCCTCCACCTCCTCTTCATCATCACCCTCTCCACATGCCACTTCCCTCCTCCTCATCCTCCGTTTGCCTCTTCTCCATGTGCACTTCCCCTCCCCCCTGGTCGGGGCAAGCGAATCGATGTTCCTCGGCGCCCTCGCCGCCACGGCAAGCAGGCGCGCGTTTGCCGACGGCTGGATCGCGAAGCCGCTGGGGCAACCCCGCGAGCCGCTGGGGCGCGAGAGCAAGCCGTTTGGGACAACCCCGCAGGCACCGAGCTAATCCCGGCCGCGCTCAGGCGGGAGGCAGCACGAAACCCAGCGACGCCGCGAGCTGCTCCGCCTCGGCCCTGGAGCCCACCGCTTTCTTGTCGAACTCCTGGAGCGCTTTCCGCGGGGGCGCCGGCGGCCCGCGCTCCAGGAACTCCCGCGCGGGCGGCCGCAGGATCAGCACGTTCCGCATGCGCGTGGCGCGGGGGAACATGACATAGAGGTGCAGCCGCCACTGCTCGTCCGACATGCCCGTGCGGCCAGCGTCCTCATCGCTGGCGCAGTCGCTGGTGGCGCCCTTGCGCAGCGTCTGGCCCTGCGACAGCGTGGAGGTCAGGTAGGGCGCGCGCGTCAGCGTGAACCCCGAGCGGCGCGCAGTGTGCGTCCCTGAGCTCTGCCACGCGAACTCCTGCTCGCTGGGCCTGAACATGAGCAAGCTCCTCGCCCGCGCCTCGGCCTCGCCGTCGTCGTCAGCACCGTCGGCGCGCTGCTGCAGCACCTCGGCGACCTCCTTGTAGATCGGGGGCTCCTGGAAGCCGTGCACCTGCAGCCGGATCCCCTGCGGTAGGTAGCGGGGGCGGAAGAGCTGGCCCGGCGCGCGCTCCTCGTAGTCCCGCTCGTCGTCTGCGTGGAACTCGAAGGACACGACGGTGGCCCGTTGCTCCTGCACGAGCCCCAACTTCTTCTTCAGCTCCTCCTGCACGGCCGTGAACCGGACCTCCATGCCGACGTGTGCCAGTCAGACGCCGTGGATGTCCCCAGTCTTGTGCATGTTCGGAACGTTCAGGAGGCGCCGGCCTGCGCCTGGGTCGCCTTGAATCGCGCCGCGCTCGTCTACAGCCTGCAGGAAAACGAGGGGGGCGCCGAGGCGCCGCGCGTCGCGACGAGCGCGCGTGTTGATCCACCTCGCCAGCGTCTCCCAGTAGATGCCCATGCCGTAGCCGAGCCGAAAGTTCTCGTGCTGGTGCCGAGGGCCCAGGGCGCCGTGGCTGTCCGAGGCCAAATGTCTTCTCCCAGGCAGACCAGACCTCTGGCGGGAAGCGCTTGCCCTCGCGCATGCAGCCCAAGAGCGTGATCAGAGGGCCCCCCGGCTCGAAGCGCTTCGTGCTTTTCTGCTCGAAGACGCAGGGGATGTGTTTGAAGACGTTGATGGCGTGCTGAATCTCCAACGTCGGCGGCTCGTTGTACTTGTACGAATCGTCTTCCTGGAGCTCGTTGGGTCCGCTGATTGGCGAGATGCAAATGGGGGGATAAGTCCAGATGGGGAGAGAGGCGCAACCGAGGTACAAATTGTACCTACGCCCCACGGAGAAAGTACAATTTGTACCGACGCCACGCAGACAAGGTACACATTGTACTTTTGACAACGTCCGCGACATGTGCATGGATGTTAACGGGGGGGAAGAAGGTACAATTTGCACTTGCAACCCGCAGAGAAGGTACACATTGTACGCCAACAAAACGGCACCATATACTCATCCCCCCATGTCCTGATCCCCCCATCGCCATCTGGCCGAGCTGAGAGGCCGATGCTGCCGGTGGGCTTCAGCTGCAGGAAATCGCCGAGGTGCAGCACGATGGGGGCACGGCCGAAGTGGTGGTGCGGCCTCTTGTAGGTGGACTCCTGCACGTCATGCGTGTCGCTGCGTCCGTGGCAAGCGCGAAGGTCCAGCGCGTTGTACAGAGCAGCCGCCACCATGCTCACCTCCTCGATGACAAGTACGCGGACGTGCTCCCACAACCACTTCAGCCTCTTCTGCATGCCTCCCGGCCTCATCTTCGCGTTGATGTACTTCTGGGCTCGCAGGGCACAGGCGTTGTGTGGCGTCCTAACCTTCACAGTCTCTGTGGAGATGTTCTTCGCCTGCGCGTTCGAGAAGGCCACGATCATCATGGCGCCCTTGTCCTGCGCCGACGAGAGCCACAAATACTCCACCACTTGGAAGACGATCTTCTGCACCACGCGCGTCTTCTCCGAGCCGCCCTGGCCCAACAGGAGCAAGTGCGTCACTTTTCTCTCGCTCCAGGACTTCTTCTGCACGTCGTCCTCCCAGGCGTCGTCGCAGGCCTTGGCGAACTTGGCGACGAAGAACTTCTGGTCCCGCGTGAGTCTCTCGTTCTCCGGCAACCCAGCGACCACGGCGGCGATGCACGCGCTGGGCGTTGAGTGCGCGCTGCTGGCAAAACTGGCCGCAGCGGGGTCGCCGCCCAGGCCGCCTGCGCCCTCGTCTTCGCCGTCCGGAGCGCCTGCGTCGTCCTCGTCGCGATTGCCCTGGAGGCGTTCGTCGTGCAGGTTTGCCCAGGCGTGTCTCTCCTCGCGCGCTGCGGTCACCAGAGGTCGGTACCCGGTCGCGGGCGCGGGAGCGGTCGCGGCCTCCGTCGGTTCGGGCGCACCCGCGCCCTCGCGGGCCGCTTCGGACATGCACGGGAGCGCGAGGAGCTCCTTGGCCAACCTCGTGAGGCGCTTGCGGTGCGCGAAGTTCAGCACGGGTTCCCCCCTGCGCCCGATTCGGCTGACGATGGGTTACCACCGCCAGCCCGGAGACAAGGGGTTACCCCTGCCCCCGATTCGGCCGCCGATGGGTTACCACCCCCGGCCCGGACGTAAGGGGCTACCCCTGCGCCCGATTCGGCCGCCGATGGGTTACCACCGGCGGCCCGGAGACAAAGGGTTACCCCTGCCCCCGATTCGGCCGAGGATGGGTTACCACCCCCGGCGCGGACGCAAGGGGCTACCCCTGCGCCCGGCCGCCGCTTCGGCCGAGGATGGGTTACCACCCCCGGCCCGGACACAAGGGTTTCCCCCTGCGCCCGGCCGCCGTCGTCCTCCTCAATTCCTGTTCCTCGTCCTCCTCCTCCTCCTCCTCCTCCTCCACCTCGTCCTCCTCTTCCTGCTCCTGCTCCTCCTCCTCCTCAGAACACAACAATGACGACAGGTACGAAAACCCGAGGACTCGTGTAGCTGCGGGACCCACTATCATGATGCGTCATCATTCCCGATCGTGCCGCGAGTGGGATGAGGCACCTCCGTGCGAGTTCCCCGTCGATCCTAAATCGGTCCTCAGACCTCCAAGTGACGACAGGTAGTAGAATCCGATGACCCGCCTCGGATTCGAACATGATTTGCGGGCCCCATAAGGAGGGGTACCCGCCTGAGATTTCCTCGCAATTCAGTCACAGACGAGGCTCCCGCTCGATACTTCCTTCATATTCAAGCCTGAAGAGCCCAAAAGTGACGACAGTTACACGTTGCGGATGACCCTCTCGGATTAGTACAGTGATCTGCGGGTCCCATAAGGAGGGGGCTCCCGCCTGAGATGTCCTCGCAATTTAGTCACAGACGAGGCTCCCGCTCGATACTTCCTTCATATTCAAACCTGAAACGCCCAAAAGTGACGACAGTTACACGTTGCGGATGACCCGCTCGGATTAATGACATGATCTGCGGGTCCCACAAGGAGGGGCTCCCGCCTGAGATTTCCTCGCAATTCACTCACAGACGAGGCCCCCGCTCGATACTTCCTCCATATTCAAGCCAGGGGAGCCCCAAAATGACGACAGTTACACGTTGCGGATGACCCGCTCGAATTCGTAACATGACCTGCGGGCCCCACAAGGAGGAGTTCCCGCCTCAGACTTCCTCGCAATTCACTCACAGACGAGGCCCCCGCTCGATACTTCCTCCAAATTCAAGCCCGAAGGGCCCAAAACTGACGACAGTTAAACGTTGCGGA